TGTTGCTTCGTTTCCGCTTTTACGGTCTTGTAGCGGTCCTTCTCCTCCGTGTTCTCCGGTGGCTCACACTCGAAAGATGCCATGGAAAGAGTGTTCTCATTAAGCACGGCGCTGTGTTGAAGATAGGCTATGACGTTGGGCAGCTGCTCGAAGGGACATTTCACTTTCTTCCACTCGTTGAACTCCATTACTTGTTTGGCCAGCTGGGAGCACTTTTCAAAATTGATATGATTGTTCGGCAGCCTATTATAGTAAAGATACGCGATAAGTGGACTTACGGGTGGCACTACCAAATCTACTTACCGGTTGGAGCATCCCTCGTTTAAAAAGTACAAATCCTTAACAAATAAACTAAAGAATGGAATGATTATGCGTTCGCGTTCCTCAGTAGCGCCCTCTGAACGCCACATCGCAGCTTTGAGCGTAGAGCGATAGCTGTTAAAGTTCGATGTTGGATCCATTTGATGTTCCAGCACAGAGAACTTGGCCGATTGCACCTTAGCCCACTGAGTATTAAAATAACATAGAAATAAGTCACAGAGGAAATATAGTGAACCCTTCAAACAGCTTACCGTCTTTTTGAGTCTGCCAATGGGCGCCAGATTTAGACCAGCTATTATGGCCATCAGACTATTAAAGTTGCCAATATTGAAGCACTCGCGGGCTGTCTCAATCCAATACTCTATGATGCGCACACGCTGCTTTTTCTTAGGGTACTGTCAGGGAAACATTGAAAAACATATTTAATATGTTACGCTAAAAGCTGCTCTTTCCTAGATCGATTTTTTACTATTTACCCACCTTGACAATCTCGCTGGCCGTCAAGTAGCTGAGCCGATTGAACCATTGCACATAAGACTCCAGGTTACGTGTTTTCTTCATATCGTTCAACGAACCGCTACCGCTACACTTGCCTTTGATGCCCTCCTTGCTCCCATCCTTGGCTTGCTGCTGGTAATCCTTTGCAAAGGCCTGGACAAACTCCTCCGGCCCGATGTGTGACAAGCGCTCCAGCTCGATGGCCGTCAGCTGGTGGGCCAAGTGTGCACAGCTCGGGCACATGTCCATGATGCCAAACACTTCGTCCGGCTGGGGAGTTGTGGAGATCGAGTTGGATGTGGAGGCAGAGGATGTGTGGCCGCTGGAGGAGGAATTGGAGGTGCCGCTGGCCGAACCGCCGCCACTGGCCCCGTTGGCATGCGAAGAGGTACCCAGAAAAGTCTGGAAGGCATTGTGCAAATGATGATGGTGTCCGTGGTGATGGTGCTGCTGCTGCTGCTGACTCTGCGCCTCCTCAGAGCTAAGTGTCTGCAGAAACTCCTCATACTGCTCTAGTGTGGTCAGCCGGGAAACAAGCAACTGCAGGATTCGCGACACTTGTTTACCCAGCGAATTGTCAATGTAGACGCACTTCCTTGCTAGAATGCGCACCTGCTGCATCAAACGCTCATCTCTAAAGTCGTAAGGGAAGATCTCGATCCATTCCGACAGGAGTCTGATGCAGTGTTGGGCAGAGCGCTGTGTGCTCGTCCGCTGCTGGGGACGCGGCTCTAGCTCCGACGTGGGAGCGGCCGCCACCGCAGACCCCTTCCGCTGCGTCAGCGGCGAGGCGGAGTTGATGCTGAGTTGAATGGGGCGGCCAGGCGCTTGTCCGGCATCGTCCACCACATCACCACCGGCGCCCACATCCTTCTGCTGCTGTTCCCAAGTCTGCGAAATCTGCGCCAGTAGCTCGTGGGGGCGCACAAAGAGCCTTGCGCTGAGAAGAAACGCGAAAACAAAGCCGTCGTCCGGGTAGTATTCGTGGGTGGGGACCATGTGGGAAATGAGCGTTTGCAGCGGACCCGAGTGTAGGCGGCCCTCACAGTAGACCAGGTGTTCCTCCTTAGCCTCTTTATTCAAAACCCGGCTTTGGGCCGCCCCATAGCTGAGCGGCTTTTCGGGCGGTTTTTCAGGCAGCGCGATGCGACGAAGAGTGGATAGCGACTCGTGGGCGTGGCAGGCGCTATTACTCCTCTGTGTCTTCAGATCCGGCAGTGTTTTGTGTGTAATTGACGTAGTCGTGGCACCTGATGCACCAGCCCCAAGTGTCGCTCCCACAGACCTTTCCTGCCCCTTGAGATTAAGGTTGATGTTAGCGCTGCCGGTGCTGCCGCTACGCCCGTTGGTGGCACTGCTAAAGCCACCGTTGCTCGACGACATCTGGGCGCTGTCCAATCCTGGGATAACGCACCTAAGCCAGCGATGAATGCCCGGGACGCATCGGGGAGTCGAGCGATAAGCTTCTGTGGGGGAAGGTCAAAAGATGGAGGATATTAGTCTAGTCGTGAAAAGGCATGTCAGGCTATTGTTTCCTAACTGTCAGATAAAACCCACTAAATATTCTCCTTTTATAGACCAACACATTTGAATAATAAATAGACTCTGTCTGGTGTATAGTTATTGGTCATAAATATCTAACATGGTGTTCAGGAAGATAAAGATAAATTAAATAAAATATATTTTCAGTATCATTATTCTCGAAACGTATTTTTAGTAGCATTACTTTTGGGACATCTAATAAAATGTATTTCCAGTTCCACTAATTGTGGACAATCTAATGTAAGAATTGAGTAATGACCCTTTTTTTTATAGTTTTGAAATCTTATGTTTAAATAACATTTTAACCAATGTGCCGTGAAGAAGATTAGTAGGGGATCAGATGAAGAACTACTGACAACTGGAGAGCGACTAAACTGTTAATTTGATAAGAAATCAGACCAATTGTGGCTTATCACAGACCAATGAACAGCCCACAGTCCCGAGTTCACAACGAAGAATTAGAAATATTTATTAACAGAAAAACAAAAATACCCGAATATGGGTCAACAATATGCTCAGCTTGGGGTGTTGGGAGGGAGGCAGTGGGTGTGCGCAACGGGTGGTCCGAACACGTTAATTGAATTACCAAGACGCACAAGAAGAAGGAGTCCAACCAAGACCATCCACCAGCTCACCACAACAAAAAGGGAAGGGCCGCATTTTCACTTTTCCTCCCATATTGCACGCTTCACAGTCAAGTGGGCAGAAACAGGGGGGACCAGGGGATAAATTATTAACTGCAGAGCAAACAAAATCAATTTTCAAATAATCACCAACAACAACCGAACTCAGCCAAAGGCAAATTAAAGTCTATATTTATAACGTTTCACAGAATACATGGCCAGCAGAACAGCAGCAGCAGCAGCAACTACAACTACATTAACAACAAACAAGTGGAATGCACTGCCCATAAAAGCTTAAAACAACAACTGCAAACGCAACAACAACAACACCATAATTTGTATACAAAACGAGGGTAGAAGAAGAAAAAGCAGAGGCAGCAATGACAGACGAGAAAACGCTAAAGCCGCCGCACAGTGGGGTTAATTCATCCGAACAATTGTTAATTAAATGAAAACCGTGGCGTGTTAAAAAGTAAAACATCTTTACAAATCCGAATTTCTTTGAAGAAATACATAAGTTTTAGTTCCCTAGAAAGTATTTGAATTTTACCTAATTTTTCACTAGCTAGGGCGGAATCGTTGAGGACTGATAAGATGTTTAAGCACAGATCAAGATGTTTTTTCTATTTATCCTTCTACTTTTCGGATTTCAGTGTGGGCTGCTCCACTGTGCAAGGTGAAAGGAAGGCAAAGGCCGACGCGTGTGGAAATGCAGGAAAGCCGAGAGGCCAGCAAGAAGTCAACCCAGCCGGGGCAAATCGTGGAGAGAGAGGACGAGAGAGTCGATAAATGGGGCCGTGGCCGGGGCAGAGCGGTTCTCCCCAATCCAAGTGCGGCAAGGGGCGCGGGCGAGGTCTAATTGGAATTTGCTTCGAGGAGCTTACCTGTCGCAGCTCCTGCCCCCGGGCATGCTGCAAGTGTCCTGGCCCGAGGTCCTTCGATCGGCGGCTCTGCCCCGCAGGAATGGGAGTAGGACGAGGAACACGCCTGCAAAGAAGCTGCGCTGCCGGGAAATCAGGACAGTCGAAAGTGGAACACTCGCTGGCGCTGGAGAGGGGGTGTTTCTGTGGGCGGGCGGCTTTGTTTGTGTGTGCTTGCACGGCAATTCACAATACGCGAAGTTTCGGCTCACCCCACCACCTTTACACTCGCACTCACACTCTCGCGCACGCAGATGCAGGCTCACATGGACGCACCCTCACCCCCGCGGCAGAGGCACGGCAGAGGCCGGGCAGCGGTTGCATATGGACGCCAGAAATTATGAGTTCGGCGGACAAACACTGTTTTTCGAGGCCCTCGGCGCAATTAATTTGCGACACAAAATGCACTGCGACGCTTTTTCCGCGGCCATGTACGCGTCTGAACTTGTCTGTGTGTATTGTGTATATACAATGTATGTACGAGAGCACCGACCGGTTTGTTTGCTACGCAGAGTTTTCCTTCCACAACTGCGTGACAAAAAAGCGCTCGGAAAAAGGATCCGGGCTGCGAAAGACAACGCGAAACCGCGGATTTAATACCACCACAGGCAATGCAACGGCAATTGCGTGATCACGGCTCGCCTTTCGCTTTTATTGCATTAAAAATGCGCTGCGAACCGAACGTCGCGTTTTGTTTACTATGGCTGAACTGCACGCGCTTCCCAACACTGCCCGCGAGACGATTCACAGAACCAGAGCTGGCACCTCGACCTTTTTCCCGCCAAATCTGGCGTTTTTAAGCACCAACTGTGGATGAAACTTGGAGTTCAGAATTTTAATAGAGCTCCATCATTTATACCTTCTGCTTACACATGATTGAAATACCCGCGTCTGAACGAAACAATTCCAGAAACCAAAGGTAAAAACGGGAACGGCGTTTTAAGCGCCTGTGTGAAAGGGATTTCAAACGCAAGGACAATTTCTAGATTTCAGTTTGAAACAACCCTAAAGTGTTGGTGTATAATGTTTAAAATGAGCCAACAAAATTAAATTTTGGGTATTATTTAAAATGTAGGAATTTGTATTGTTATCGGAGCTGCCACACTGGGGACAGCCGTTTCAATATCTGGTAACACCGAGTGAAAAGTCGCAGGGGAAAATGGGATGCGAAAATAACTGAGTTGCAGGAGAGAACGATACCACAGGAGGCAGGGAAACAGCAGACGCCACAGGCAGCAGGACTCAGACGCATCTCCCAGCACGGCCGACACTCAAGCAGGACCTCCCGGCAACCATCGACCGCGTTTGCAATTAAATGGCAAATGGGAGTACGACCGAAGCGTCGGCGACGGCCACCCCTCAACAGCGAATTCCCCAAACCGCGCAGCAGGCGCTCCTGACAGAGGCGGCGGTGGCCTCCAAGGAGTCGGCGCCCACCTCCCAAGGGGTGAACGATCTCGTGGCGGACGTGTGTCTGAATGGTCGTGGCACGGACTACTCCAGCATGCGGGCCTCCACGTCTACGGGCGCCGGATCAGGAGCTGCCTCCTCGTCTTCGTCCTCCTTCTCCTTTAAGCACTTTCTCAGCAGCACAGGCACTGTGACGGCTCCGACCAGCACGGTGACCTCGGCAGCCGTGCAGACGTCTACTGGCGCCCGGCCAAAGGTGCCCCAGTCAGCCTCTGCCTCCCACATGCAACCGCCAGACGTGAACGGCAGCAGTGCATCGTCCAGGATGAAGCGATCCCCGCGCTTCAGCTCTTTTGACTCGCAGGCGAGTCTGGCGGAGTACGCAGCCTGTGGGGGAGGGCCCTCCAGCAGCAGCGGCGGATCCCAGTCCCAGCACCGCTTAAGACCGGATCTTCGGCTGGGCCACGACGCCGTGCAGGACGCACTGGACAACGACGACGATGACCACGTGGCGCTGGCACAGGTGCGCAACACCAGCAGGCTTTACGACGAGCGAATAGATGACGGTGAGTTCATGATAGGGCTTTTTCGCGATTTCTCTAACTCGCTCTCCCCACTCCGTCAGATATTTTCCCATCGGCAGCATCCAACCAGCAACCCGCCATTGGAACGCGCTATGTGCCTCGCTCCTACTCCAATTACGAGATGCCACCACACTTGCCGTGCCCCTCGTCCTCGCCGCGTCGTCGGCCGTCTGGAAACCGCGATCAGCGTCCCACTCGACTAGTGCTGTCCGCCGGTCCCAAAATGAAACTGGACCTGCCCTTGGACACGTGCAACGGAGCGGGTGGCGCCAGCGGCGGTGGGGCGGCTGCTGCATCCGCCCTGCCAGACTTTGTGCAAGATCACTTGCCGGACGCTTGGTGCGGCGGTCAGGATGCCTTGAGTTCGCCCCCAAACTCGCCTCTCGGAGCAGCTGAGGCAACGAGCGGAGCTGTGGGGCTGCTACCGTCTGCGCTTGCACCCAGGGGTCTCCCCAGTGCTGCCTCCGTCCCCGGTCCTTCCGGAGAACCAGCCACTGGCTCTACCGTTAAAATGCTGCCGGACTTCCTGTCTGATGGCCCCATAATTCACTCGTCTCAGCGATTAGCCGACGTGGCTATCGGGCTGCCCTCGAATTCCATTGATTCGCCTCCCCAAGATGCGGTAAGCACGTTGCAACTGTCGACACTTCGGCAGGAGAACGAGCGTTTGCAACAGGAGCTACAGGAGGCTCGCGCGGAACTTAATGTGCAAGCCAGAAGGGCCAGTGACTTTGAGCAGCAGCTGCTACAGCTTTCAGAGGCCTCTCGAAGACGGGAAGCGCTGGCCACGACGACCAACACACAAGCCACGCAGCACCTGAGGCGACAGTTGGCCCAATTGGAGGTGAGTGCCCTTTCCGGAAATGCTTAATGACGATTAATTTACTTAAATCATTGTTAATTAAAGCTCTACCGAAACTGCTTTAAATTGTAAAAAGAAGTGTTAAAAACACAACAAAGACAATTTTTTATAAAATGACATTTTGAAGCCATTTTTCGAAACCTGCGCTATATTTTTAAAAACAAATTTATTTTAAGATGTGTACTTTTATCAAATTTTTACTTTGCTGTAAAACCCAAACGCTTGTAAGCTGAAGGAACTTAAATAGGTTTAACATAACCGGAATCGATCAAAAGGAAGGAACTTAAATAGGTTTTAACATAACCGGAATCGGTCAAAACCTATTTAAGTTCCTTAAACTAACTTAAATACTTTGAATTCCAATTTTGGGCTTCACTTCAAACCCCTAAAATGTCACGCAGTGTACATTAAAATGTACATATTGTCGATCAAAATTTACATAATGGCGAAAGCCAAAAAATAATATTTTAATTTGTCAAAATACTTAACTAAATAACATCTTGGTGACCTTGTATAAGTAGCCGCAAATATTTTAATTCTTAAAACTGTTTTCAGGCGGAGCTAAGCACCCTAAGAGGCAGCGGCGTTCCTGATTGTGCCGCAGGTGGAGTCCCAGTGGCGACTCCTGGCAGAGGCACTGAGAGCGCCGCCAGCAGTGGTATCAGCACCCCACGACCGTCCAGAACGCATCATTTGTCGAGGGATCTACTGCGAGCCGCCGACACTGCGGAACAGAACCTGAGGTAAGAAACCAGTAAGAACCAGTTAAAGAAAACCTACCTGACCGTGCATCCACCACTCCTTGCAGGCAACTGCTGACTGGCGTGGAGAATCTACGCCAGATGGCGGCTAACCTGGAACAGCCGGGCCAGCCAACAACAACGCCCCGAAGTCCCGACCTTTACACCGATTTTAACTGAACTGCCAGGGATCGACTCTAGCTCAGATTGGTTATTGTTGTTTGTGTAAACATTGAAGCCCACGCCGCCGCCTAGAGCTTGTTTTTAGATGACCCCACGAATGTTTTATGTTTCCGTATTATCTGTTGCATTGGGCTAAGCCTGGTCGGAAATGTCCGGGAGGAATGGGGAGGGGCAATGTGAGAATCAAAGCGCAAACTCGTGATGTTGGTTGATAAAACAAAATATATAATTCATACTTGATAAATCGATATAGCATATTCAAAGACCTACCTAATATCGACGGCTAATGTAAAGTACTCTACAACGTTAACTGTCTGCTATCCAAAAGAAGCCGCGCATTGGATCCGGGATAAGGCAGCGACTAACAAGGAGCGATAAATGCGATATATTTTTTGTTAAAAACAAAGGGTTACCTGTGCACTTCAGTAGTTTGTGCTTCAGTACATAGCATACAAGAATTGAAATAAATTATTATGAGACAATCAGCTGTTTACCCACTGTGTGATAAACCTCCCAGAGCTTTCTAAACAGGCCCCTTAGCAGAAAGAGAACGCTTTCCTGCAGCCTTGACGTTGCTCTCCATCTGATAGCGCTCTCCGCCAACCAAGGTCTAAGCACCGGCACTGGAATCAACGATCAGTTGCTTCACCGACGCCGATACGCGCGGACGACCTGCCTCGCTAATTGGACACAACTGAAATCAGAAATGATGTATAAGAGATGGCTGGGTAAGTTTATTGCGGAACCCGCCGAGGATTAACTTCTTTTGATGCAATTTACGACTTTGTTCTTGGCCCCTGGCTCCTGGCGCTATAAATCAAGTGTTTGCATATTTCACGGAAAGAATTATCTGTGGAACCGTAAAATGTATTCATCTAGGTGTCGAGAAATAATTTGTAATATTTTTATTTGTAACGCACTAGAATTTTATTAGGGAGTGATTGAACCAAAATGTTTTGTTGTGCACTTAGAAAAATTATAGACCGTTTTTCTCCGTGTGCTGGCTCTACCGAGAACATTTTAGGTAGCCGCTTATCACGTTTTGTCCACGTTGGGTCAAATTTTGTGTGCTCGCAGTTAATGAGATAAGGTGAGAGTTGATAATTTGACAGGTGGCTGATAATCCAGAGCTCGTCCCAAGCGCACTGAGAATTCAAGTGGCCTAGGCTGCCGGCGGGGGGCCAGTTCTTATCGGTTGGAATGGGGACAACGCCTCAGTATTAATGGAAGACTTCATTTTTCTTCCTATTGCGTATTTGAAGTTGAGTACGGAGAATTGGATAATTCACGGTCAATGACCTTCCATTTGTTTACAATTCAGGTCTGAACTTAACAACACGTGGGCAAGTGCAACAAAAGTTTCTCTTTAAAATTTATACTCCCAGCAATCGCATGTTTACTAGGAAATTGCGTTGCAGTTCCATTATTAAGAATATCAACATTACTGCCTCGCCAGTTGTAAAAATATAAACAGCTGTGGTCAACATAATAGCACCGACATATTCACTTGCGTTCCTTATGAAACTATTCTAAAGCTACCAGTTTCAAAACTTTTTAAACTTGCGGAGGGTATAATGATTTCAGTTAGAAGTTTGCAACGCAGTGAAGGAGACGTTCCCGATCCCATAAGTTATATATATTCTTGATCAGCATCACTAGGCGAGTCGATCTAGCCATGATCGTCTGTCCGTTTCTACGCAAACTGTTCTCCCAGGTTTAAAGCAATCGGGATGAAATCTTCTAAGTCTGGTTTCTGTTGCAGGTAGACAGATCGGACAACAATATCCTATAGCTTCCATAGGCTTTTAATTATAGCTTCGGTGTTTTTGACTTATTATCTTCTACTCTTTTATTTTTTTAAGGTTTCATGAATTTGTGATTAAATTTTTAAAAAATCGGACGATTATATCATACGATTGCCATAGGAACGATATAGATAGTGTGCGAAGGCGACTACTGTGATGGTACGATCGCAACCAATCGAAAGGTAACGCAAAATGAATATCAAATGGCTTGGGTGAAAGAGAGGTGATATCTCGGGGCCGTTGGGGATAAAGTTTCTCAAGTTTATTAGTCTAGTTGTTTTCTTACTTAAAAAATCTCGAAAATTGTTAGTCCACCCAATTTGCAAATGACATTTTCCGAAAGGAAATAGATTAACCTTTCAGAATACATATGGCGAATTGTGATCGGGCTGAAATTAATGTAGGTATATCCGCTGAAAGTACAAAAAGTCGTATTATTTTGGCTGTTTAAAAAATACAAATGAAAACATATACATAAACATACATATACACTTTGTCCCAAAGAAGTTAGGCCCATACGTTTTCAAATCGAGGCAAATTGTAGATATACGGCGAACTCAGTGAAATAGCGCAAATTCATCATAGGTTCAGACGAAGGTGAGTATATCGACTTGGCTAGTGATCCTGATCCAGAATACGCCCTCCTTCTACCTGTTGAATTACTTTTCGACGATCCTAGGAAGCCCATTTACTCTACGAGTAAGTAGGCTTGTTTTTGGCCTTTAAAACCCTACCCCTCCCCCTTAAAAATCATTATGGTAGCATTGGCGACATATGCTTAATTTGGGTTATTTCACTACATTTTGTTTCCAAATTTGGAGGATCAAACGTGATGTTCGAGACATAGTTTTTTTTTGCAATATTTCTAAGAATTATACAAATTGAAAAGTTGAAGGTTCTTGTTTATATATATGTCTATATAAAAATTCTTTTTGATGACCGGTTAATCAGAACACGATATAAAAAACAGGACAAATACAAAACCGCACGTTGTTTGTTTGTTTTCCTTTCTATCATCTCTTCAACTTCTAGAAGTCATTTGGATGACATATACTCGCAAAAATTTTGTTTTTGTAAAATGTTTTTTATAGTTTAGATGAGACTTATTCGCGATAGACGCATATTTGGTTTTTGTGAAATGTGTTCTATCGTGTTTCTATCTTCCAGTAGAGGTAGGAGCCAGAGTTTCTTACGAGTCCCTTAGGTACATAAGGGATGACGATATAAAAGAGGCTATTTAGTGATTGGGACTCATCAAGAAACTTCATTATTAAGTTATCCAAATGTATAACACCTTACACCCTATGTTAAAATGAAAGCCGTTAGATGAAAAATTATATATAGGGTAAGGTAAAGTGACAAACGATTCGTTTTTTGAGTGTCACTTTTCCAAAAATTAATATTTTTTAAAAGTTTAAGAGCAGAAAGTTGCTGACATCTATTGAGCACGTTCTCGTAAAAGATCGATTGTAAAAGGCAGGCACATCTACATATGCAGATGTAAAAATTATTTATATTTTCTTCAAGAAAAGTTGAACATGTACCTCAGTTCTGGGTTAAAAATGAACAAATTAAGTTGTTTATTTTCTAGTTCCCAAAAACCAACACAAAATAATTGTTTTTTTAGTTATTGGCTGTAGAAACGAAACAAATAACTATATAATGTCAAGAAATACAAAACAAATGAAATCTTTATACCCTAATGCTTGTGACGATACCCTACAAGGTACTATTTGAAATGCGATGGTGTCACTTACATAATGCGCACAAAAAACACAAAGTACCGAGAACAGTTGCTAAAGATTTTATTCATACTTGTACATAAATATTTATCTGACTTTTCACAAATATTTGCTCTCGCACTGCTGAAACACATATAAATTGATTAGGATTTTAAATTTTTGTTCAACCTTTGAAGTCAAAATTATCTCACGAACAAATTACGCGAACTCTAAATAATGTAATACATTGACGGCACGATTAGTAAAATTGACTATAGTCATTTGGAATTTTTGACGTGACGTCACATATGAGATTTGGCGAGTTCGCCACCTTACCCTACACTCCCTTAGCTGGAAAAAAATGTAACATTTTTATTTGACAATGGAATCTGGGAGCGAGTTCGATTTATGTATGCTCGAAATCGAGAAGAGTGTAATCGCAATATAGAAATAACTTATGCTTGAATTCGAAACTATTCATCTCGAGCTCTAGATTGACTGGATATTGAAACCGAGAAGACTTTATCTCCATATCGAGAGCACACATTCTCAAAATCCTTTCGCAAGCCAGGAAGACTTCGATCTCGATTTCGAGAATTTTTGTATGAGTCGATCTTGGCTCACTTTCAAGATTGAAAATACTGATATTGAGAACGTATTATTCTGTGAGTGAGCTATTTGGTCTTTTAGTCTAATCCCAACGCTTTTTTTAATTACAATAACTTTGGAAAACAAAATGTACTGCAACAAATCGAATAAATAAAAAACAAGAAGTTAACTTCGGCAAGCCGAAGCTTGTATACCCTTGCAGTTATATTTATTAAATTTAAAAATACAAAAAATGGTATTCCAATAGTATATACATATGTTAGAAAACACCGAAGCTATAAATTGTTTCATTTTATTTTCCCACCACTTTTCCGATCGTTCCTGTGACAGCTATATGATATGTTCGTCCGATTATGATAAAATTAAATTCGAAACTCAGAACTAATTAAAAAATGTTATTTCCAAGTGTAGGAGGTTATATGTTAAAAAACACCGAAGCTATAAATTGTTTCATTTTATTTGCCACCAATTTTGCGATCGTTCCTATGGCAGCTATATGATATAGTCGTCCGATTTTTATAAAATTAAATTCGAAATTCCAAACTAGTTTAAAAATGTTATTTCCAAGCGTAGAAGATTATATGTTAAAAAACACCGAAGCTATAATTTGTTTCATTTTATTTTCCCACCAATTTTCCGATCGTTCCTATGGCAGCTATATGATATAGTCGTCCGGTTTTGATAAAACTTAATTCAAAATTCAAAACTAATTAAAAAATATTATTTTAAGCTTAAGGGTTATATGTTAAAAAACACCAAATATATAATAAAAAAAAAAATTTTCCCGATTGTTCCTATGGGAGCTATAAGATATAGTTGTCCGATCCGGCTGGTTCCGACTTACATATATACTACCTGCAAAAGATATAAGACTTTTGGGAAAGTTTCAGCCCGATTGCTTTAAACTGAGAGACTTGCGTAGAAACGGACGGACAGACGGACATGGCTAGATCGACTCGTCTAGTCATGCTGATCAAGAATATATATACTTTATGGGGTCGGAAACGTCTCCTTCACTGCGTTACAAACTTCTGACTGAAATCAATGTACTCTCTGCAAGGGCATAAAAACTACGAATATTTATCTTTTTTGTATTAGTTGACTAACCGTCCTGTACTTTAAATTTTCCAGCTCAGACTAGTCGGGTTCTAACGAAGTCGACGGTGCGCAAGGTGCATTCAAAGGTAGGGCCCGCCGTGATAAACGAATTGTTAAGTGAGATGCCCGAGTGCAACCATCGCCCGGTGGCCTACGAAGGCTCCAGTTACGAACAGATCCTCAAGACGCGGCGCAATCACCTGACGCCCAACCTCCAGGCGCACTTCAAAAAGCCTCTCGTCATCCACACCGGCCACATGCAGTGGCTCTATGATCACGAGGGACGGCGCTACCTGGACATGTTTGGCGGAATCGTTACTGTCTCCGTGGGCACTGTCACCCGTAAGCGAGGGCATTTTATAAGCTTGCAGAGAGCATTCATATATATCTGTGTCAACCTGTCCGTTTGTTTGCAAACTATTCCCAACAATTGTTTAACAGACTATCATTAACAAGTTATAAGCAAACAAAGTGTGCCATCTCGGAAACAGCCGATTTGCTGCATGTATATCTCCATCTCACTACCATTAGCTGTAACTGGCCGTCGACTATAGCGTTCTTCTTTTCTTTTTAAGATTCCAGAAATAAAAGGTATAACAAAATAGAACGCTATAGTCGATTGCCGCGACTGTCAGATACCCGTTACTCAGCTAACAAACTTAAAAACAAGAAAGAACGTTATAGCCGAGTACCTCGACTATCAGATACCCGTTACTCATCTAAAGGTCCAATGGGAAACGGAGATATGAAAGCAGCAAAGCGAGATTGAAATGCACCACCTACCCGCGATCCTATACATAGTTATGGGCGTTAGAGTGGGCGTGGCAAGCTTTTGTTGGGTCAATAGATAGGTATTGATGAGAACAATACATTTCAGTTAAAATTTTTATTCTAGCCTCTGTAGAAGCCACAGTTTTGGGCGGTTCGTGGGCGTGGTACCCTGCTGAAACAAACTTCGCTGCGCAGGAAGCCCAAGAATCTGCGTGCCAAATCCCAATAGCCAAGCAACAACATATTTTTTTTAACAACATATTTTCTTACCGCCCAAAAAAATTACACGTGCCTTTTGGCCTATTAGCCTATCATACTGAATATTTCATAACTTTCGGCAAAATCTAGCTCTAAAGATGATAAAATCATTTGCATTTACCAATAGGAAGGTGAACCAGGCACTAAGCGAACAGACCGCCAAGCTATGGCACACGACGAACATCTACATGCACCCCAAAATCCATGAATATGCCGAGCGTATGGTGGCCAAGTTCCCAGGGAACCTAAAAAGCGTTTGCTTTGTTAATTCAGGCTCTGAGGCCAACGATCTCGCCATGCTGATGGCGCGCATGCACACGGGAAACCAGGACATCCTCTCCCTGCGCAACTGCTACCACGGAATGTCGCCTTACACCATGGGTCTGACCGCTCACTCCACCTGGCGCTTCCCGCTGCCCGGCGTGAACAACGGACTGGTGCACGTGATGAACCCCGATCCCTACCAGGGCATTTGGGGCGGCTCAAACTGCAGGGACTCGCCTGTGCAGACGACGCGCGAATGCCAGTGTCGGGAGGGCTGTCAAGCCGGTGACGCCTACTACAAAGAGCTGGAGGAGACCTTCAAGTATTCCCTGCCGCGCGGCAAGGTGGCGGCCATGTTCGCCGAGTCCATCCAGGGGGTCGGTGGCACGGTGCAGTTCCCCAAAGGCTATCTAAAGCGGGCGGCCGCCCTGGTAAGGGCTAACGGAGGACTCTTTGTGGCCGACGAGGTGCAGACTGGCTTTGGGCGCACCGGAGAGCACTTCTGGGGCTTCGAAGGCCACGACTACGTGCCCGACATAGTCACTATGGCCAAGGGCATTGGCAACGGCTTTCCGCTGGCCGCCGTGGTCACTACGCCGGAGATCGCCGCCTCATGGGGCAAGCCCTGCACTTCAACACATACGGGGGCAATCCCATGGCCAGTGCCGTGGGCATTGCCGTCTTGGACGTGATCGAGGAGGCGCAGCTGCAGCGCAACTCGCTGGACGTGGGCACCTATCTTCTTAAAGGTCTGGCCGAACTGCAGCAGTGCTTCGACATTGTTGGCGATGTGCGGGGCAAAGGTCTGATGATCGGGGTGGAACTGGTGGGCAATCGCGAAAAGCGTACTCCTCTAGCCACGCCGCACGTCCTTGACATCTGGGAGAAGTGCAAGGACCTAGGCGTGCTCTTTGGACGGGGTGGTCTCCATGGAAACGTAAGTAGGAGCTTCTCCTTGGCTAGTGCATCCTCATCTGGGCTCCTCCGTCCTCGTTTTGCACGTCAAACTAACAAGAAATTGCCCTCCGTTGAAGATCCCCAGGCGAGGTGGACTCTTAGGGGGTTCTTCTTCGGGTGCATTATCACTCCTCCTGTCTCTATCTGTACATCCTTTCGTTCATTTTTACAGGTTCTGCGAATCAAGCCTCCCATGTGCATCACTAGGGCTGACGCTAAGTTCGCTTTGGACGTGCTGGCCCGGGCTATCACGGAGTCCCGATCCGAGCATAATTAACAAAGATTCGAGTGAAGACGACGATAACATACATTCATACCCAGAAGAGCGGTTGCAGGGTGGTCTCAGTTGCATTTATTAATCTATTTAACTAATTGGAACCTCTGGACAATTTTAAGTCCTGAGCTTTCGGTTGTTTAATATTTTAAAAATTTATTTTAATAGGTACATTAAATGTTTTACGAAACCTTATAGTGAATCGTATGTTAATCAGGTACATTTGAATTTCAAATTGTGCCAAGGGAGACACAAAGACACAGGAAGTCCTTAACGCAAGACAACTTGAAGTCTTGTTCCTTATGTTTTTTAGTACGGTTAAAAGTAATCAAACAAACAAACCTTTTAACTAGTAACGTTCGCACCATTAACATACATTTTTAATGTCAACTTTTGTGACGAATATTTATTAGACTTTGTCATGCTGCGTAGGCAAGTTGCTAACCAATTTGCTGAAGCAGTCCGAAGAATTAAAAAAAGAAACTCCATGGTCTAAAGTCGTTCCCATAGAATTAGCTATTAAAAACAAAAGAAGGACGCTATAGTCGATGCCATCGACTATCAGATACCCGTTACTCAGATAAGTGGAGTGCGAGGGAGATGGATTTATACGCACTTTCTGGGCTCTTCCTTTTTAATGAATGGCCTGATCTGAACACTTTTTGTCCTGTAGAGCGATATTGATAGTCAAAACCAAACCTTATTCACATTTTCTACCGAGTATAAGAAATGTGGGTACTATACGTTTTTAGCGTTATGGGCGCTTGTGGGCGTTAGAGTGGACGTGGCACGCTGCTGAAATAAACTTGAGCTACGTAAGAAGCTCTAGAATCAGCATGCCAAATCAAAACTTTCTAGATTTTTAGTTTCCGAGATTTCAGCGTTAATCCGAACGAACAGACTAGATCGACTCGGCTAGTGATCCTGATTAGGAATATATATACTACATGGAGTCGGAAACGGTTTTTTCTACCTGTTACACACTTTCCGACATATCTAGGATACCTTTTACTGTACGAGTAACGGGCTTAAAAATTATATATCCCAAATGAGAAAATATTCGTCCGATTTAAAAACATTTTAATTTGTTATCCTGAAATATTAAGGTACACCCTATAGTAAACAAAAATATGATCTAAAACAATGAAACTGAAATAGTTTCCAATTTTTTTATATCCTTCCCATAGGAGCTATAGGATATAGTTGTCCTATCGGATTAAATGTAAAAAAGTATTTTTGCTGTTAGAACTTCGGTGAGATAAAATTAATTTTCCAATTAAATATAATCGGTTTAAGATTAAATCTAATTATGAACTTAGTTCGCTCAGAATCTACTGTTGCTAATCAAAAACATACACACTTTTTAGGGTTACAAATGAAAATGTAAGGGTATAAAAAGTACTCATTTTCAATTCTAGGACTGCTTTATAAGTAAGTATCCTTTATTCATAAAAACAATCACTTCTGTAGTTATAATACTAATACAAAAAATAAATTTTAAAATTGGGTAAAGTTTTTTCTTATTAAAGGAATACTTATTTTTAAAATCGTAGAAAGTAGACGTAGGTAGACATGTTCTATTTGTATTCTGCTTTTACTGTCAATAAGTTATATATGTAGCACTACTATTTTGCTTGTAAGAAACCACCAAAAATTTACTTAGTCAAGTAAAAAAATACTCGTCGCTTTAAAAAGTCCTGTATTGTTCTTCCTTCCTTCTTCAGGTGCTGAGTTTGAGACCTCCCCTGTGCCTATGCACCGAGGATGTGGAATTCACCCTGGAGACATTAGAGGCAGCCTTCAAGTTCCATATGAGCAAAAGCCCTCGGAGCTGGAGAAACAGCCAAAGAACTTAAAAAGCTGATTGAACTATAGAGCACATTTATTCGCTTCACTTACAAACTAGTAATTGAACAATGTTTTAGGTCGAATCCTAAGATTAGCATTTTCTGAGCGAGGCTTTGACTTAAATGTAAAATTCTTATTTTTAAGAAATAGATTGTGATGTAGAGCGTTTTCTTATGGGATTCGTGGGATTTGAATCCATTAACGAATATATGGTTAACTAGCATAATGTTTGGTATTCATGGCATTGCTTTGAGCATAAATAATTAATATAACTCAAAAATCACCTTCGCTTAATCTAGTTAATGCAAAAATGCAGTCTTGTCCAGTATTCCAGGAGGTTCTCTTGGGGTGGGTCTCCTGTGGGAACTCTGCTCCCCGCGTGGCTTCTGCTAGACTTGGATGTCAGAGTGTTTGCCCTCGTTATTATAATCAGCAATGAGGAGCGTCTCTGACAGCTCTTTTCTCGCCTTCTGCAGAACCCAGAACATCAGAGCCACTCCACAAATTACCTTTAAATAAACAAAATGATTAGGAATATTATTGCTCTCAAAAGTACAATAGAATCACTACTATTGTCACTTCTAAGTTTAAAATTACTTGGTAAGTGAACATTAAAAGCTTCAATTGATTGAATAACTTATGGTTATAATCCAAAACTGAATAAAAATAACGTTTTAAACAAGAAAATAATAATAATAAACAAAAATAAATACACTACTTAATCTTTATATACTTTACATTCTAACTTTGTATCTAGTGGCTGTGACGTCATTGGCGATGTTCTTGCTAGATAAATGCATAAAATCATTGGTCGATACCATAGACTATCAAATATCCGTTACTCAGCTGAGGGCAGTGCGCGGGAGACGGAGATACGGAAACAGCAAAGAGACTGTAACCAAGATTGCACACTTTATTTGGTCATACTTTTTAAATGGTCCGATTAAAAATTTTTTTGGATATACATACATATAATCAAAACCAAATCTAATTTACTTTTTTACAAAATCTTAAAAATGTAGTCGCTAGACAGGTTATAGCGTTATATGCGTTTGTGGGCGTTAGAAAATGCATGGAACCCTCCTGAAATAAACTTCCGGAAGTAGCTTAAGAGGCTACATACCAAGTCTCAACTTTCTAGCATTTGTAGTTTCCGAGATCTCAGCATTCATACGGACGTGCAGACAACGACGGACGGACTGACAGACAAACGGACATAACCAGATCGAGTTTTTAATCGAGTTTTTCAAAGTCTTTTCCATCCTATAAATACATAACTATCAGCTAAAGTTTGTATTCTAGCATAGACGCCACAATTTTTGGGCGTTTTGCGGGCGTTGGAGTGGAAATATCACTTGCGCTGCTTACGAAGCTAATGAATCTATATCTGAAATCCAAGCTCTCCAGCTCTTATTGTTTCTACTCGGGGAGAGGTGTTTTTATTTGATCAATTCCCATCTAATTGCTGAGTATCTTATTATGAGAGTCTAAACGCAATGTGGACTTCACGTGCGGAATGTACTAATCGAAACTAGCTAAAACCGAATTAAATTTCTCTGGCTTAGCTCGCGCTCACCTATTATAGCGAGTTAAAGTTTTAAACACCAATTTTATTTATAATCGCCATATCTTTTAAGACGATTATGTAGATATAAAAAATAAGGAACTAAAAAGCCAAAACACCCTGTCATTAAAAAATCGAAAAGTGAACGAAAAATTACGGTACTTCATCGTGAGACACAAATATGAAATGTTATATAATATTCAAACAGCAGGCTAACAACTATTTTTCTTTAAAATTAAATTAGACACTTTTCTAAAATCATATTGCATTTGAAAAAAAACACAGCAAGCTAATTTATTTTTTTAATTTTATAGAAAAATGGATGGGAGCTAAGGGATATAGTTGTCCGATCCGGTTGGTTCGACTTACATACTACCTGCAAAGAACGAAGACTTCTTGGAAGTTTTCACCCAGATAACTTAAAATCTAGCAGACTAATTTGCATTGAAGCGGACAGATAGACATAGTTAGATCGCATAATCTATTGATGCTGATCAAGAATATGCGTAGATAATTCGAGAGGTCTTTTTCACTGCGTTGCAAAGTTCTGACTGAAATCGTAATACCCTCTGAAGGGATATAAAAACGGACACCCAAATGCATTAATAGCTTTACATTAAAACAGCCATTATGCCTACCATTTGAAAATGGTTTGCATGCATATGTACGTACTCACGGCACGAGCTCGAGAAATATTAAAATTAGTAGACTGTAAGGTAGCTGAAACTTGAAGTTGACATCCAAGCGAACAAGAGCATTTTTCGGATTTTATTTTGTAAATTTGTGGAACCAATGAAGACTATATTAATAATTTCAAATACTGTTCTTGAATACCTATATTATAATAATTGTTTTAGTTAAATTGATTTAAACAAACTTTTCCGATAATTATACAAAAGTTGATTGTATTGGTAATACGTAACAAATACTAATACTAAGTCAAGTCACAATAGGTACTAATATTAAGAGTCAATACGACCCGGAGCGAACTCACCTCAAATACGAAGCTAATGTAGCCTGTCAGCTTGGTATCATTATCATTAAGAACTTCGTGCATCGATCTTAGCGTTGAGCCCAAGTAAACATTGATAGTTTGGGCTGGCAGCAGCCCAATCATTGTGGCCACATGGTAGTCTCTCGTATTGATGGAACTGATCTGCGTAAATAATAATCTGATATAAAACTCGGTCTGAAACAGCGTGTCATGCCTTACTTGAACTAAGTTATAGGCAAAAAGGGGTATCAGTGAGAAAACATTTAGAGTAAACCGGTTTTCATTTCAAGTAAAAATGTTGTTTGCTTTAACGAGGTTTTCCCCCTCTATTTAAAAATGATTAAATCACCCGTGTAATTACATTCACTCAGGGTATTTTTGCATTTGAAAAAAATTTGAGTGACATGCTGTGATATCTTATTCCTATGTTTAAACTTATAAGGGAGGTGGTCAAATACAGTATCACCTCCATTAAAACCTTTAGCAATTGCAATCTGGTCAGACCTGCCTCTGGGCCACTTACTCCGAATATCACATTCTGAACTCCGAAGGGAATGGGGGTAAGTCGCGTAAAGAGCACCACCCGAAATGCCTTTGGTCCAGATATCACGCGAAGAATAGCTCGTCCCGTATCATTCTTGATCAACCTGCAAATAGAATCGATCGAACAATACTTATCAGAGATAAAATATATGCTTTTATTCACTAACCTAACTTTACACTTGCGTTTATCTAACCCACAATCAGGAAATGGTTATGGGGGCTATAAGCGAGTTCTACTGTTCGACAGTTGGCCCCATAAAGAATGGTGGGCGGGGATTTCATGTTATCATATAATTACAGTTAATACATTATGTTGGCCTTTACGACGCTTGGTAAATATTATGTAAGAAAATATACTTTTCTTTGAGGAAATTTGATTTGCAGCTATAATTGAAAATTAGATACGTTTTGACGGTAATTGGCGGAAATGTAAAAACCTGCTGTTATCAGCTTTTGCCTTTGCAATTACTTCTCACAGGCGCGCCACATATATTTATAAATGCCTGATAAGGAACTGCAAACCAGCCGAGCAACTTCCTAAGAAGGTATTCAGCTGTGTGACGTGCTTACAGAAACCAAACAAAGTAGTATGAAAAATCGGGCTTTAATATATACCTATAAAACACCTGAATAAATGGCGGTGACTGTGGAAACACGAATTTAATTCCGCGGAATTACTGCCATATCTTCAGCAATTTTCTGTGCTTTCCTTAGTCGCCGCCAGTGAGGTCATGCTGGTGGCGCCTAGCACCTGGTCCCTGTCAGCCCACAATCGTGGGGATCTGGCTCGGACGGCAGGTAAGCATACCTCGATCTCCTGGGGCTCGCTGGGACAGACTGCAGTGAGTACCTCGACGGAATAGTCGTTTCGGATGTGCAGGGTGTCGCCGAGCTGGCAGATAATGCCTCGGAACTCAGGGTAGGCCTGGCAGCAGTCATCGGGAATAGAGATGGACAGGCGAAGCGAAACGACGTTCCCGGGTGCGAAGGGGTAGTCAAGGAGTCTTCGACTGGTGTCTCGTTTACCAAGGCCCACGTGGGAGATGACGACTGGAGAGCAGTTGTACTTGCGGGCCACCTCGACAGTCTCAGCTGGACTCATGTCAACCTTGGGCAACATCCGGAGCTCTTTCAAATGCCGGGCCAGAAGGATTAGGTAAGCGGCATGCAGTTCAAGGGGGGTGCGTACAGCACCTTCAATTCTAGCGGACTGTATTAACGAGCACAGATCGCGATGTATGTCCAAAAGAGCACCGTAAAGCATTTTCTGGGGCGGCGTAAACCGGCCGGAGCTGGGCCAGCACCTGGCCAATCCACCCTCGTAGCCTCCGTACTGGCAGCCAGCATCCATCTGCCACAGCCCATTGCCATCTAGACCACATGATACTTTGCACGCGTCCGGTTGGGCGTGACTCAAACGACACTTGTAGTCAAAGGATGTGGCCAACTCCTGAGGATTGCTCTGGTGCTGCGCGATCACCTCCGCCATGGAGCCGGCGGCAATAGCGTTGGCCCGACGCAGAGCACACAGCTCCCTGGACGTCTTAACGGTGCGTGTGTACTGGAGGATGTACCGGGGGTTACACAGAGGCGTCTTTGCCTCGTCGGCCGCCTCTTGCACTATCCGGCTGACTGGACTCGAGGTCTGGAAGGAGTGCCATAGCTCAGGAGACTGATCCCTAAGCAGCCAGAGCAAACTTTTCTTTAACATGGCTAGGGGCAGAACGTCTTCCACGTGATGCATATGGCTATAAATCGAGGACAGCTGCGAGTCCACCTCTTCGGGAAGGAAGAGCAACGCACCAGCCTTTCGCTTTCGGTTGCGATGGAGTACCAAGGCCGCTCCTGGCCTCAAGCAATCGCAGAGGTAGAGAAATTCGGATCTTTGCCGAAAGTGGCATCTCCGGATTGAGTCGGCACCGGCCACCACAAGGACATGCGCAAAAACCCGATTCTTTCTCTGTGGTTCCTTGAACGCGTCCTTCGCGTGCATATAGGCATTGAGATCATCCAATGCCATTATTCGATGGAGATCGATCTCCTCGGGCACCAGGACTGCTTCGGGCCTCGGATCGCTGTGCAGATACTCGGCCATTGTGGCGAACTGGCCCCCTGGGGCATCGCGGGAGAACTTATCGATAAGGTCGGGCACTGCGAGCGGCCGAATTCTCTTGGCGAATTCGGATGAAATGACTGTTGGCAGCACCAGATGGACATCACTTCGATCCGATGAGGCCACTACAGAGCATCCACGCCGCACGTCACGCCAGGCAGAATACTTCAAATTTTTAAGGGATCGCAGCATTTGAGAATCAAAGGGAGCACACAGGACAGAGGCAGACAAAAAACTATGTTGGCTTAATGGAAGACCCTGAGACAGTTGGACAAAAGGGTGCCTGATTTCCATCACTACAGTGGACCGAAGATTCGACAGGTCGCTAAAATGTAAGCCGGGTTGTGGCACTTGTCAATATAACCAAGAACGAAAGTTCGTATTGCGTTGCTCCACATAAAATTGGAAATAAAGGAGAACAAACGGAATTTTTTAAAACCCTTGCAGACTTTACCGAAATTGGATGCCCAAAGTAGCGAGGAGAATGCCATGTCAATAGCTCTTACAATACGTGAAATATATTTACAAATAACTTCACCTTGCAATTGTTTCTGAATGTTCCTAAGGGAACCATGGGATATAGACGTCCAATCAACACGCGCTTTTACTTTGATGAAGGTATGCATAAATAAAAGGATTTGAACGGATTCTCGTCAAGAGGTTTTGCACTGCGCCAAATATGTTTAATTTTTGCAAGTAATATCCGACCGTTCCTATGGGAGTTTTTGAATAAGGCGTAAGATTGGGATGTAACATATTTTAGGGCGACTGCGAAAGTTTCAGATTGATAGGTTTTAAACTGAGCTCGCAAACGATATAGAAACAGACGGACATAGCTATATCGAATCCCCCTGTGATCCTGATAAAGTATATATGTACATATCTCCTCTACAAGGGTATACAAAACAATTTACAACATTTCTCAATATTAACAAGGAAGAACTTTATAGTCAAGTGTCTCGACTATCAGATACCCGTTACTCAGCTAAAGGAAGTTGGAGATATGCCAGCAACAAAGCGAGATGACAGGCGATTTCAATATTGGGTTACAGATTTTTAATGAACAATTCGATTTGAACAATTCTTAAATAGGTGGTATTGATAAACCAAACAAAATCTGATTTACCCATTTACAAAATTTTTGAGAATGTAGGCAACCTACCTTTTTCTAGTTCAATCGATAGGTAGTAACGAAACCGACATATTTCTGTTAAAATTTTTCTTCTAGCATCAAAACTGTGGGCGCTGGCAATTTACTGAAACAAACTTTCGCTGAGCAAGAACCTCTTGAATCTGCATGCTTAATTCAAACATTGGAGCTCTTATAATTTCCGAGATCTCAGCTCTCGATTTCACTTTCATCACCATATTCTTTAAAAGTTTTAAAAAATTTTAGAATGAGATCACTTATCACTGATCACTTATAAACAAGTGTTAAATTTTTGGGGTTTTTATACACATTTAAAAAGACAAATTGATAGCAGTGGGCACCAGATAAGAATTACATTCGCTGTGCCGTCCTGGATTCAGCATCTGAACACTCTAGCTATTGTAGTTGCCGAGATATCGACGTTCATTTGTACAGACGGACAAGACTAGATCGGCTAGTAATCCTGATCAAGAATAGATTTTTTTATAAGGTCAGAAACTCTTCCTACATTCTGCATACTTTTCGCTTTATTCTAACGGAAAGGACATCAAGTAAGAAGTTCACTTAAATATTTTCAAGTGAGATTTAATTTATATGAACAGGTCTGACTCATTTTCGTCGAGTCATAGAGTCGAACACAAAAGCAAATTGAAAAATAATTTTAAGAAATTCTTTTTTTCTTATTCACGTTTCTTGTTTTATCGGAATTGGTCTGTAAATCAGAAAGAAATAATTTCCAGTTGAGATATAACAAAGTAAAATTTTTTATGAAACAAAATTATCGACCTGACTTCGAAAGAAGTTTAGTTTTGCAATTTGAAACCAAAGCCAAAGCACTTTAATAACCCAGGTCGACAAAATCAGAACTTTTTCTTGGCCCAAGAGTACACGCTACAAAATCTGAAAGATTTTACCTATAGATTCCGATTTCGTATTCCGAAACCACAAAAGCTACAAAGTTGGAATTAAGCATGTGGATTCTCGCGGTTCCTGCCAAGTCCACCCTTACGCCCAAAACTCTGCCACGCTCACTCTAATGTCCACAAAAAATACCTATCAGCCCCAGTACAAATTGCTCAAGTTCATAAAGAACCTTTTGACAAACATTGTAAACGCATGTGGCCCCCTAAAATCGGAAAAAGCCGCTTTGCTGCTGGCATATCTCCAGATATAAGCACTCTCTTTAGCTGAGTAAGGGAATATGATAGACGAGGCAATCGAACACAGCGTTGTTCCCTGTTTAGTCGTCTGATAGATACTCTGCTTAGAAATGGAAAATACCTAGTTTGCATTTTTTACGAGTGCACATGCATAGCTTTAAGAAATCCATACCTAATTTGCTTAATATTCCGCTTGTAAAATCGTTTCTGTGTGCCCTGTATTTAGCACCTCCTGACAATCAAACGCATAACTGTTGCCTTACTTACGTTCGGTTGGGTTTCTGTTTCATGTATTGACCTTATATACTGTTACTAATGCATCTAATTATATTGAAATATCGCCCAATAAATGGAAGTTTGTGCAAGTTTTGTGAAACCAGATTATTGACGGACGTGTGACCTAAAAATATGTTTATCCGTGGCCAATGAATTGAATTCATTCATAGAACTAAGGCTATGAACCGAAAATGTACACATACAATAATGCCCTAATCACTTCTCTTCCGAAAAATCGAGTAAAAGCGAGTATGTTAAAGTCTGTTTAAAATATATGTTTCGGCATATCGTAACGTTCAGAAACCCGTCCGCTTTGGTCAGTTTAAAAAGCTCAAGGACCTCCCCTAAGCTTGATGTTACAAGTTCCACTAAAAATCGAGCTTTAGCTAAGATGTGTAGCTCAGTGCTTTCCCTAGCAACTCACCTTTGCACGGGAATGCGGTGCCGGCAGCTGCGAATGGTGGCATGCGCCACGGCGATGCCGAGGTTGGCGCCTAGGATCACGGTGAGCCAGCCGCGCAGGCAGCCAAACAGGTAGCCGGCGGTGATGAGCAGGACGAAGTAGCCCACCACCACGGGGAAGCTGACCAGGGCGAAGAGCGCCATGTACACGGCGAAGGTTATCCAGGCGTTCTGCATCTCAATCCAGAAGAGCAGCTGGCGGGCGTAGTCCCGCGTCGCCCAGCCGATGAAGACGAATGCGCCCAGGAGGCAGGCGGGCAGCAGGCATCCCAGGTACCAGTTGCGGGTGAGGTAGCCGTGGGCCCGTCCCCACCAAGAGCTGCGCTTGCGGCTGCGGAGGACGGAGGAGGGGGGCCGGGGCCCTCTTCGACTAGGAGCGCTGCTGGCGAGGAAGGGGTCACACTCGCTGTCCTCCGAGGACTCCAGGACGAGCAGGGCGACCGAGGAGGGGTCGGAGGTGTTTGCTGCACTGCCCTCCAGTGGGGCCCCCTCCTTGCCTTGGATCAGCTGAGCGCAGGCGGGGGTCGAGGGGGCGGGTACTGGCTTCTGCATGATGCTGTTGTTGTTGTTGGTCGCATATCCATACGAATTATTATTGTTGCTGGTGCGGCCGCTGCTGATCTCGAGTTCCAGCGACGACATGACCAGGACTAACGGTTAGCTCTGGAGGCACCTTTCTCCGTTTTCTCTTGCACTTTCCGCTGCGAAATTTCACTTTCGTGCACCAGCAACCGCATCCGCGCCGAAACAGATGTCGAACTTTCGGAATTTACGGGCGCATGTTGTGCTGAGTGTCACATATGGCAAGGCAACCGAGTCCCAGAAACCGTTGTTATTGTCTTGATTCAATTGAAATTACGCTTTTATTGTTTATATACATTAATATACACCACCCGCTCAGCAAACGACGCACGTCTGCCAGCCGACGTTCCGATTGGAATTGGACAATTGGAACTCCGAGTTCCCGCAACGCACCGGGAGAGAGTGAGATAGAGAGCGCAGGGGAGAGCCAGCAGCGGTGTTGCAGGTTCAGCTATTTTTCAGTCAGGGCTGGCAATTGTTAAGACTTGTAGCCGCCCGTGGCTATTTTTATACGATTTGGCTATGGCGAGACTGTGCAAAAGAAGGCAAAGATTTTGGAGAAATTAATTAAATTATCTCACTTTTATTAGTGTAGGTTTCAGTTACGATATTCGATTTATTACTAATAGTAAAAGTACCCCAAAAATAAGCATAAAATTACCGTCGATGGTCCGACGTTAATGTTAATAACATACATACAACTTTTTAAAGAATTAAAACAAATTTTAAAAATTTGCATTTGTTATACCCTGAGTTGTAAAAGAGTAAAAATATAAATAACGTGAACTTTAAAACAAATACCACATTCTAGACTAATATTTTATATACATTTGTTATGAACACTTTTAAAGTAGATTTTAAATAAATCGACTAAATGATTTTAATTCCAGCAGTACTACATTGCAAGAGATTGGTCACACTATTCGTTCAGCTGATTGGTATTGAGTAACTACGAGTTAAAATATGTTTAAATATGTTGTGCAGGCGCTCATCGTTAGCCCTGACCTCCAGATGCCTTCGCCTTTTGTCCACGCAGCAGCACAAAACTGGACAGCCGGGAAATGACCAGGACACCAACCTCTTGCCCGCCTACTCGGAAAATGAGCGTCGGAAGATCCTGCTGACTATAAACGAAACTGGCACGAATGAGATGATCAGGTGGGTGGACACTACACATGGTACTCCATGGGACTCAGCTCATTTTTCTTTCCAGCTACGACATTACCAAGGCGAGGGCCACCAAACTGCACAACTGGAAGATCCGCCACGGTCCGCTGCAGGAGCTCAGTGACATCCTGTACGTGGAAGGCTTCGGCCTGAAGGCGGCCACCAAGTTCTTTAAGAGCGTGCTCGCGCCTGTGGACAGTGGGATCATTGTACCGGAAAAGAAGTCAAAGGCAGCGCGAGTGGCACCGTTCATTACACCATCCATGGATGAGGCGCAGCGCCAACGAATAGCTTCTGCCGTGGGCGTGCGCATCGGGGTGACCAGTGTAAGCTGGGCGCGCTTAGAGATCGCCAGCAGCGATGCCCTCTGCCTTCTCACCCATTGGCACCACCATGAGCTCAACGACAAGAAGCTGCACCTGTCAGAGCTTTGCCGCCGCTGCCTTTATGTCTCCCACCAGATACCGCAGGCCGACTGCTACGTACTAGAGAGTCCGCAGATGGCACAGGCCAGCAGCAATCCGGGAAGCACCGATCAACAGAACGTGAACATCCAGAAGTCCCAAGTTGCCGCCATCATGAGCTACTCGCTGATGGCCCGGTCGGATGCCGATGAAAATAAGGCCAACAACCTCTACTATATGCGCCGGTTCCTCTCAGCTCGTCTCTTCAATCACCTGGTGGGCACGGAGCGCGTGTCTTCTGAAGACACAATATTGGCCATGATGCGGACTCATTGCAACGTGGAACATCAGCTCCCCGGAACAGAGTCTCCGCTGAGTCTGCGCCAACAAGTGCACTTTCCAGCTGACCTCCGCCTCATTTTCGCGCAGCAGGAGCGCTACCAGCGCGAGCTTCTGGGCCAGGCCTTTTTACTTAGCTTGGCCTTTACTCGCCTCGTTCTCTTGCAGGATGCGCAGAGCATCGCTCGGGTGACTCGGAACGCAAAAAGCTCCGCTTCGAGCGAGACAGCTTGCGGAGCTAGTGCGTCGCAATAACTATTAGGGATTGTCTTTAAGTTGAACTGTTGTACTCGTTTTATAAAATCGCAAATCAGACTAAAAGACTTAGCTGAGTACCACGTCCTTAAATCTTCGCTGGGTGGCCCTGGTATTTAATATTGATCTTTGTAAAGGGTATATGATAGTCAAGGCACTTATCTTAAGCGTTTCTTGTTTTTTCCCTAGTACAGTTCCGTTACATTTCCGATTGTTTCTAAGCAGCTATTGATTCAGTCGTCCGATTTCTATAAAATGTAATTCTAAATTATTAAATAATTTGTTTTTATTACGGAGAGTGATCAGAATATTGTTGACGTGTCAAATTTAAAAGTGTTAAAATGTAAAAAGTAATTGTTAGCCACACAGCTGTTTTTAACACAGGAGTTGTTTATAACAGAACTTCGTGTTAAAAGCACAAGTGGGTTGTGTGGAAACGATTATATTTTACATTTAAACATTATTGTATTTGACACACATGTCAAACATTTTCTATGTAATTTCTTTACAATAAACATGTTTTTTTACGAACTCTGGTAAAAAAAAATATCTCCAAAAGCTTCGAAAATATAACTTGTTTCTTTAGTTTTTAGATCATTCCTGTGGAAGCTATAGGATATTGTTTTCTGCCTGTTTCGATTTATATTATACCTGCAAAAGATAAACAACTTTCGGGAATGTTTCACCTCGATTCCTTTAAAAGAGATGGACTTTTGTGTACACACTTATGAAACGAATTACTGACATGCCTTGATCAATCATCTTCTAATCAAGAATACATTTCCTTTATAGTGACTGAAATAAAAAAAAAAAAATAGTTCTAGTTTACTTATTCCGACAATTAATATTTTTATGTTCTAAGCTTTTTAAAGGTATTCTTTAACTTGCTTAAATTATTTATTTGTAACGGTTGTGGAGGTTTTAACAAATCTAATTTTTATTTTTTTTCTTCGTACTTTATTGGTTACACAATCAGAAAAAATATAAGACTGCAGCGCTCCTTGCCTATCAAGAACTTATAAACCCTATTACACAAGCATCATTTTTCACTATTTTGTATATATAGAAACTTTGTTTTAGTTATTAATACATTACTCCAAAAACAAACATTTTAAATATAAAGAATTTCCAAAAACATGAAAGCCTACGCCCAGTTGTATACACCTTTCTGACTGGCGAACTTGGTTGAAAAAGTTGTTTAAGATTGTTTATTAATTGATTTTGGGAACATGTTAGGAGAATTTTAAACAAATTCATTTTCATTCTCTCTTTAAGGCTGTCCAGTTCGATTTGTATGGGTCCGAAAAAAGTGAAAAATCGTATGGGGGGAACGTAATCTTTAAAGGATTTTAAGGAATATTGCTGAACAAACTTATGGTCTTAAACCTTTCGTTTGTTCGAAAAAAGGCTTACAATCCTTTAATCCTCCTACGAATTTTAGGCACCGAAATCGACCATACTTGACATAATACATTTGCGCCCAGAACTGCTGTCAAAATATGGGTTTTCATACCCGTTTCCGAATTAATTCGGAATTCCATTAAAATGAATACATTTAATTTTACATTAATTTGATATATTTTATTTTATTTAGTTTTTATTTGTAACAAATTTCCTTTTAGATATAGAAATGACCTACTTTTTATTCTTCTTAACAGCGCCGGTTATGCTGAAATCGCTGTCGGTAAACTTCTTTATAGGGCGCGAGTTTGTCGGTAAATCCCAGCCCCGTTCCTTTCGCGTTGGGTAGGAGCATTGTTTGCGGGAGGGCGCCGTCCACTGGGATTTCGCCGGCCGAGGCTGGGAAATGCTTCTGCTTCATTTAAATCGGCGGTAAAAGCGGTGTGGTCAGTAGGCACATAGGAGCTTGATGCGATGGAAGCTCGGCTGCTAGAGATCGAGAAATTGGTCGAGTCTTGAGATTGGTTCTCTTTCTTGACCCGCGACCCTGGGAGTGAGTAAAATGAGTCGAAAGAGGACTCCTGGGCGAGAGAGGAGGCGTCCGAGTGTATGACGCGGTAGTTGGGATTTGTTTTGGGGGGTATGTGCTTCCCAGGTTGCACGGTGATGGCCAGGTCTCCGCACATCAAATCGCTAAAGGTATAGGCCCATCTAGTCACCATACTCTGGGTACAGTACTTGCTGCGGTCGTTCTCCTCGTGGTACTACAAACAGTGGGCTTAGTATAACATTGGTAGTGTTTTTCGACGCATTATTACCTGACAAGCGATCTGAGGTGTAAATTCAAAGAATTCTCTATTGAAAAATGAGTCAGTCACATATTGAGTAACATTCTCGTCATGCAAATCGGCGACATCCATGACCTCCTTCTTCAGTATGAACATCAAGTACAAAATATCGAACACCTCAATCTTCTGGCGTCCGATTTCAGTATCATCCTCGTCCTCACAAGCCAAGTACCGGAAGCACGACTTCACCATGGGAATATCATCGACGGGTGTGAAAACGATTAGCGGCTTGTCTCCCTGACACTTTTTAAGATAGTCAACGATATTCCGGTGCAGCTTAGCCATGTTTCGTTCGCCCAAGGCATTGGGCGGCAGCGGCAGACTATGTGTTGTTGCCGAGTGGTGTTGAGCATCGCTGCTCTGCCCGAAGATGATCTGACCAGGATCGATCATGGTGCTGTAGATGGACCGGATTCCCTCCTTTAGCGAGTACTCGCAGGCAGCGAACTCGGCAGGTACATAGACGTCAGAGGTGAGGGCCTTGGTGAAGAAGTTAAAGGCTGCGAAAACGAACTTGGCGTTCTCCAGATCTGTACCAAAAGCGATTAGTAAGTTGGAATTGTAAGTCTCTTGGTGTGACTTACCATGGGCCTTCTTGGCTTCCCTGATGATGCGCTCGGTTGTGCGTTTCATGTGCATAACACCCTCGGCGGTCTCTTGTTGGGCCTGGTCCACCTGGGCGATTCCCTGACCGTGACAGTTGAGGCGTTCCCTCTTGGCGCGGTCCAACACGTCGGCGTTCTTGGCGCCCGAGTTGTAAGGGCCCCGCTGCTGGGGAGTCATTTTCTAGAAGGACGAGGGTTGGTTGCACTTAGACCAGGCTGGAAATCAGGCGGCACCAAACCTACCTCCCAAATGCCGCCGCAGTGCGCAACAGCCTGCGGGATGGTCATTCGGCGGCCCTCGGCGTTGCGGTTCCGCCACTCGGTTACGAACATCATAAACCCACTATGCTTCTTAGGAGCCATCTTTGCTGGGCGTGGCAAGTTGCAGGGATGTGCGGACACCGTCGAGCACGTGTGCGTGCGAGCGAGACAGCGGCAGGCGGACAACCAATGAATGGCAATGCAGAAAGGGGTTCCTCGCAGTGCTGCGCGTGTTTACTCTGGCTCTGTGGCACAAGGCGAGGCTTCTTTTCAAATGATAAATATCCGGAATGTGGTCGGTGGGTAAATAACACACAGTCTAAACAAATCAGGAGTTCATGGGCAGCTGTATTGCGTTGTGAGGCCTTCTATTTTGCTGACGCTTTAAGTGTGCGGTTGCTGTAATATGATCCTGCTCGAAAGAGAAACAGTAAAGTGGGTACAGTAGAATGACCTCCACCGTTACGCAACACTAGAGAAGTACCTAAAAAAATCGATTCCGCAAAAATATTAAACGTAAATGCTATTAAAAACAGAACTTTTACAACGCCTAAAATTATTAACAAGGTAAGAAAAGCTTAAAATATACTATCTGAATTACTCGTTATCCAGAATGTTACGAAGATATGGCTTTTTAATGCAATAAGGTGTAAACTTCAGTTTACATCAAGGTTAAGGGAATACCCTAAATATTGAAGCGAAAATATCACTAATGTTCAATAGATCTTTTTTAAAAACGCAATTCACCTATATCGGTACTATGAAAGAACGGCGAAGAATGAAAGCAAATCTGGATATTGTATTCTAAGATTCGTTTTACATTTGAATTGAACACAAAAACTTAACTTTCAATCAGAGTCATATCAAACTGCTTGATTTAATTTAGAAATATTTCCATCGAGTCAGAAAATATTTTATATTGTTTACTTTAATTATTTTCTTTCATCAAAGCATGTTTAAATTATTTTATTAACTATGATTGTTAAATTTAATATTTTCATATATAAAGTTAATAAAAACCGCAATCGATGAAGAACGAAGGGAAAAATTTATGTTTTAGTACCCCTGGCTTTGTTTTTTATTATCAAACATTTTGTAGTTTAGTTCTTTCAATTAAATTCGTAACACAACTATTTTTTTATATATTTTTTTGCTTTCTTTTTTTTGAGACGGAAGATAGTAACAGCACAATTAAAATCGTACCAAACTATTTATTTACTTTATATATTTCGTTGTTTCGAAAATACTGTTCTAAATTGTATATTACATATTTATTATTTTAAGTCTGTTAATTTTTTTAAACGAAAATCATTCTTTAGTACCCTAATAGTTCGGACTTCAATGATTACGGCTCTTGTTCAAGACCCAGGAAAGCAGTAGTGTTAGTTTAACTAATTGTGTTGTATGTCGACAAATAACTTCCATGTAAATAAGTAAAATAAAAACTAAGAATTAACAAATTAAAAAACTTTTCATTTAATCGGAACATTTTTCGAAGCTGTAGGATTTACGACGTTTTGTAAAACGTGATTGCCGAAATAATATTTTCTCTGCTCCAACGACTTCGTAATCCTATGTACAATTTTTTTAGCGTATTAATTTACAACAATATACTTAATAAATTACATTATGATTTTTATCTTTTTATATATGTAGTGAGTGCATAAAGTTTCCAAAATATAAAATAAAAAGTTCATCTTTAGTTAAGCTGTGCAAGTAGGTACAGAATTAAACAAATCTTAGCCAACACTGCATCATCTACGAATTGCGGGATCGGTTGTAGAATTCCATTTACGAAGCAAGAATACAGAGTTTATTTGTTGGAAATCCCACCTATCCACCCACTTAGTCTGCACACAGCACGACAATGGCTTCGTCCAAATTCTTTTGAAATCAGACTTGGTGATTGTATTTAAATCTAAGAACGATGGCCACAAACCACGAAAGTGAGGAGCAGCCAAAGCCAGAGTCCATGCTAATCGACCGCTACGTCATAGATCTGGGCAGGACCGAAGACAAAAAAGAGCTGGGTGACACCTACTTTAGTATGAAAAGCGCCCGTCTGGCGTTCTTACGTCCAGAAACTAACACTAACCCGCCTCCAACCTCCGATGCAGTAGAGATACCGCATGCAGCGCTTAAGGATCAGGACGCCCACCCTTGGATGCAGTGTTGCGGGCGCAACTTCACGCGTTCGATATTCTCACTCCAGCCGAGCCGAAATCCCAAACCAGGATTCACCCGTCGCCGACGATGTCTAGTGCAAGGACGTAACCAGAACGCACCCTAGCTTAGAATAAAATATGACTTGTATCTTTGGCAATACAAATAAAGGCCTTTTACTTGGACAAAACATAAAATGTTTAAATGTGGGTTCTTAGTAGTAACCGCTAGGGGGATGCTGTTCAGGGTAACCCGTGGGCCACTCGGCGTAGGCATTAAAGGCGGGTGGTGACCCGTAGATGTCCTGGATCCGGTGGCGCAGATCGCTGGGCCCCAGGTAATACAGGGAGCGCGTCGTGGCCAAACGGCGGCGCAAGTCGAAGGGACCGAGCGTCGGTGGAGGACGACCGATGGGACCGAGCGTCTGTGGAGGACGATCGAATGGCCCGGGCAGGTGACCTGGAAATTGATGCGGACTATACTCTAAGTGGGTGTAGTGCGTCTGCGAATAGAAAATTTGTGGCGCAGGTGGAGTGGGCAGCAAATATTGGCGCAGCGCCTTTGGGCGGCTGATTCGATTGTCGTGGAGCGTAACCATCGGGGAGATAGGCCGCGGTGAGATAGTGGACGTAGTGGAGGCGCTGTCCGGAAGTGGCTTTAAGCGGTCTACTGGCAGCTTGACCTCAACAATATTAGCCCCTCGGTCGCCCGACCAGCACTTCTCTACAAGTGGTTTCACGGTAGGTTTCTGGGGAGGCAGAGATCTACTCCTTGAACGTTCCCTTCCCTGAATGGGACTCTCTGGGTCGTTGGACCTGCTGCAGGAGAGCTGGCGCCCCACGATCTTTAGTGGCCTGTTTTTACTTCTCGAGCGCGACCTCGACGCGGTCCTTGAAAACACTCGCTGCGTAATCTTTGCTGATTTGGATCTGCTGCTTGAACGCTCTGGGAAGGGGTTTCCTGCTAGCCGGGGTATACTCCTTGAACGATCCCGCAACGGAACTTTGCTTCCAAGTCGCTGTCGTACCAAGCTTTTGGCTGGCCTAGATGTGCTTCTTGAACGATGTCGAGGACGGCGTATTGGAGAGTATCTTCGGACATTCCTTGACTTAAATCCGGGCGATCTAGGTCGACCACGGGAGGGACTGTGCCGGTGCCTAATGCTGGGAGAGGCATCTCGAGATCTTCTTTTTGGAGTGCAATTTCGTATGGAACGGGAACGTCTGGTACGATTCGGACTTCGAGACCTGGATCTGAATCTTCGCCTTGGGGAAGGTGATCTACGGCAGCGCGCTTTCCGGTCCCTTGAGGAGCTCCTCCTCCGCCTGTGGTTGTGGTCTCTTGACTGACTCCTGCGCCTTCTGTGTTTGGCCGGGCTTGACCTTCTTTTGGGTTCCAAGGCAGGGCTCCTCCTCCTCCCTCTGAAATGAGGGCTGGGGCTGCGACTAACAATTAGTTTTTGAACTGAGGGACTCTTTTTTCGAGCACGCTTCCGTTCTTTGGATTTGCTGCGGAGACGTTTCTGACCTGAACTGATTTGCTTGACCTTTGAAAGAGATGTTTCCAAGGATAACCTTCCTTTGACAGCAGCCCTACTTCTGCAGCGTTCGGGATTCTCTTCTGGACTAATTCTGAACTCCACCAGGGGAATTTCAGGCGAGTTAATAATTATGGCAGGTTGCTTCTCCTGAAACACGCTTTGATCACTGGATGATATTTCTCCAGACTCCTGCAAGGATTCAATAAAGCTGACGGGGGAAATATCGTTGTAGGGCCGTGACCTTCTGGTGAACAAGGAGAAGTCATCGGTCAATGAGATGGAGGGCGGCGGTGGCGTGGTTACTGGATCCCCATCTTTATCCGATTCGGCCTGCTCCTCCTCCAACAAATCGGCCTCCTTCCCCTTGGCCATTATGTCGGCCTGCTCCTCAGCCTCATCTAGTATGTCCCCAAGCTCGTCTAGAACATCCCATAGATCTTCGCAGATAGGCTCGCTCTTGATATGAATTTCCTCCAGAAGCGCATTCTGCTCACTCGTTTCGGCGGTTTCAAAGTGACCTTCTAAAGGCCTGAGACCCTGGACACATTGGTTCGTGGTTTCCGCGTGATCCTGGCAGGGCTCCATGCGCCTCCTCTTTTCGGGGGGCGGTGGCTACACATAGGGATAAAGATTTCGTTGGAAAACTGTGAACTTCACTGGAGGAAAGCAACAAGCCGATGCCTTTTGAAATACTCACCTTGCACGAAGGCTTGCCCGCATTCCGGAGCCCGAGTCCGAAACCCGACCAGAAGAGATAAATGCCTTGCCACTTCTTGTTTTCATTGTTTTGAAATCGGTTTGAAATAATGTGTTTGTGCATTGGCGTTAGTGAATTCGATAGCTGCAGATACTCGATTGAGTTACATAATTATCGAATCTATTGGCGGTATTCCAGTGGTCTCTTATAATCGAATTCCATAGAAACATATTCTTACATTTAGGTCACGTAAGCCGGTGTAGATGGCGAAAAAATATCTAAAAGAGCTTAATTCTATTGAAATAAGTAATTCCAGATAAATTGTTGCATTGACTAACAAGGTAGTTTAAGCAAATAACATTATTTTAATATTTTAATGCAACATTTTTTAAAGCCTAGTTCACATAGACGAAAACTGCGAGCTAACCATAGGAGTGAGCGAGAGGCAAACAGGCGGCTAAAGCTATCCGCTCTGTTTTTCAGCGCGGTACTCAGATGAGCTGAGGAAATACCAAAAAAAATACCAGATTTCGAGAAGAATTTTCGATGAACAACGGTGTTTGGCCCAAAGAATAAGAAATTTAATCTTTGGCGGTGTTCGTGCAGAAGCGATAGGAAATTTAAAAATTAACAAGGGAGAACGCTATAGTCGAGTACCTCGACTATCAGATACCCGTTACTCAGCTATATGGAGATATGCAAGCAGCAAAGCGAGATTAAAATGCGCCACCTACCGGCGGTATACAGATTTAAGCGTTATGGGCGTTAGAGTGGGCGTGGCAAATTTTTTTTTGGATCAATCGATAGGTATTGACGAGACCAATACATTTCAGTTAAAATTTTTTATCTAGCATGAAAATTGTGGGCGTCACAGGGTTTTGCGGTTTGTGGGCGTTAAAGTGGGCGTGGCAACTTTTTTTGATTCGTATTTGAGAAATACTTTTTTTTTTTTTGGGCGTCACAGGGTTTTGCGGTTTGTGGGCGTTAAAGTGGGCGTGGCAAACTTTTTTTGGGTCAATCGATAGGTATTGATGAGAACATTACATTTCAGTTAAAATTTTCTATCTAGCATCAAAACTGTAGGAGCCACAGTCTTGGGCAGTTTGTGGGCGTTAGAGTGGGCGTGGCAGTCTACTGAAACAAACTTGCGCTGCGTAGGAAGCTCAGGAATCTGCACGCCAAATCTCAATAGCCTAGCTCCCATAGTTTCCGAGATCTCAGCGTTCATCCGGACAGACGGACAGACGGACATGGCTAGATCGACTCGGCTAGTGATCCTGATCAAGAATATATATACTTTATGGGGTCGGAAACGCTTCCTTCTGCCTGTTACATACTTTCCGACGAATCTAGTATACCCTTTTACTCTACGAGTAACGGGTATAAAAATGGAAGCAAAACACCAAAAACGGCTAAAGGAGGTCAGAACAGGTGAAAAAGGACGCCTAATCCAAGGTGTTGCCCATTATTGTGGGACTTGACCGACAGGAAGCAATACCACAACGGGGCAAATCCGCAGAATAGTTGAAGGCTGGAGGAGATCCACTAGAGAATCCCAGTGGGAGGTCTCCATTGAGGACTCCTCCTCCACCAGCTACTTGGCAGCCAAAGCAAAGATGGAGGAGGCGCCGGCTTCTATAGGGAGGAGAAAACAAGGTCGCCCGCTAAGGGACAGCTGGAGGAGCCATCACCAGCCATTATTGGCCAGCCTATTGGGACTTGGAGCTGGACTACAGATGGCGCGGGAAAGATGTCGAAGCATCCGTGGGACGAGAAGAAAGCCTTAAACTTATAATTTACATAAATAAAAACATTCGTTGAACATTTTATTTATTTTTATTTTAATTTCTTTGTGCACCAGCAGACTCTTCTTTTTTAAATTGCTCCAATTGATTTCTTTTCTGTTTGGCAACAAACAGTAAGACCATGCCATATGCACTGCGGGTGAACTTTGAAAACTTCGGCCACACTACAAAGAATAGGATTTTTCGACTAGTGAAACTCTTAGCCGATCTGAGTACTAGGCTTAAAGTTTATAAAAAAAATTTCAGCAACTGACTGAACGAACCTAAACGCCTGTTTATACTAGGGTGGTGTTATGGGGTTATAGGGTTATTGGCTTTCCAATGTTTTTTAAATATGTTTTGCATAGTTAACTAGAGTAGGGCAAATGTAGGTTCTTTGTCGGGTGTATGGTATTTTTCGGTAATTTTGCCAAACCAGCTGATCGGGCTCGGCACATGCGCACAATCATAATATGTCATGACAGGGGCACTGCGAAAATAAAACCAAATGTATTAAGGTAAATGGAATACAAAAATTATATAAAAAAAAACTATATGTAAAAAGAAAAAGGCGACATAGTGCATGCGTCATATATGAAAATGGCCAGAGAGCTACCTTAAGGAAGTCCTAATGACTCTTTAAAAGGTGGAATAAAGTCCCCACAACTTCATAGCCCTAGAAATTTTTCATCTAGACTGCAACAAATTTGTTGTATTTCACCAAAACCAAAAAATTTGGATAACTACCAGAGTCTTACAAAGCGTTTAATTTGATGATTTCAAATCTAGCAGGTTGGCGGCTCGGTCAAAACGTGCAGCTCGCTTTCCAACACTGGGCGGTAAGAGCACAGAGCGGACTAACAGCAATGAAGTGCAAACGTAGTGTCAGGAAACGTAAGAGCCACGAAAGTGTCTGGATTTTTGACACCCCCGGTTGGCGTCTCAGCTATGAGAGACCGTATAGCAAACAGAGCCCCAACAGCAGTCCAGTTAAGTGTTACAGCCTGTTCACACTTATGGGGGTTTAGTATATTTTTAGAATCCGCTTAAAATTGCAACACGTCCACGTACGTTCTGAAAAGTCGAGGAATTGGCAAAGGTTTTGTTTTATCTAGGGCTTCCCTCGGTCACCGTAAATCGAATTCGCAGCGAGGCAACGCAACGAGTGCCAGGAAAGCGCCGCGTGGTGTAGCGTCGAGCAACGTCGACAATTTTTCGTGTTCCGAGTTAGAAATTCCAGTCTGAGCCTTTAGCCATGGCCAACCCAGCTGCAGGACCCTCCAAGCAGGAGATCGAGTCGGTCTTCAGTCGCCTGCGCGCCCAACCAGCGAACAAAGTGAGTGCCCTACTTTCGCCAGCCCGCCCTTGAGGCTCCGACTAATGAGGCACCCCGCTCACCTTCCTCCTCGTCCTCCGCAGTCCTGCTTCGACTGCGCGGCCAAGGCGCCCACTTGGTCCTCCGTCACCTACGGCATCTTCATTTGCATCGACTGCTCCGCCGTGCACCGCAACCTGGGCGTGCACCTGACCTTCGTGCGCAGCACCAACCTGGACACCAACTGGACCTGGCTGCAGCTGCGCCAGATGCAGCTGGGCGGCAATGCGAACGCGGCCCAGTTCTTCCGAGCCCACAACTGCAGCAGCACCGACGCCCAGGTCAAGTACAACTCGCGGGCGGCGCAGCTCTACCGCGACAAGCTAAGCGCCCAGGCCCAGCAGGCCATGAAGGTGCATGGCACGAAGGTGAGTCCCGAGCACCTGGCTTGTTTGTTACTGCCTGCAGTTTTCTTACACTAAACCTACTAACTGACATTTGCTTTGCTTCACTGCTGTGCCTGCTCCCCACCCCGACTCCATTCCTCCTCCTCCTTCCCCACGAACCACACACCACATTCATCAGCTGCATCTGGAGCAGACGGATAAGAGCGAGGGCAACGAAGCCGCCAAGGAGGAGGACTTCTTCGCCCAGTGTGACAACGAGGCGGACTTTAATGTGCAGAACAACAACGTCAGCAAGGTATGGAGACACACACAGGAGACACGCACGCGCTGTTAGATTTCTTTGAGTTTTTAGCTAATAATATATTTACTCTACTGATGACTGACTTACTTCTAGCAGGATCTTAAGCCAACAGCCGCTGCTCAGGTCATCAGTCTTGAGCCGCAACTGGGTGGGGCCCCCAGCGTAGACCTGCTCAACTCGGTGGTGCCGGCAGCAGTGCCCTCCTCCATAGGAGCGCGGAAGGTGCAGCCGAAGAAGAGTGGAGTAGGTGTGACGACCAGCAATATTGGGCATTGCCTAATCGATTTGTCTCTCTTCTAGCTGGGTGCCCGCAAGGTGGGCGGCCTGGGAGCCACCAAGGTGAAGACTAACTTCGCTGACATCGAGGCGCGTGCCAACGCGGCCAATGAAATGAAGACATCCGTCGCTACAGCACCTGTTGACAAGCCGCAGACGGCCGAAGAGGAATTGGAGACGGTAGCCAGCATGCGGCTGGCGTACCAAGAGCTCTCCATACAGAAGACCCGCGAGGAGGCCAAGCTCAAGACCATGGACCCTGCCAAGGCCAAACAGATGGAGCGCCTTGGAATGGGCTTTAGTCTGCGTGGATCCGACATGGCTCACTCTGCTCTCGGCGACATGGAGACTATCCAGCAATCGGCCGCCCCTAAGGCAAAACTCTCTTCGTTAGAGGGCGAAAGCTTCTTCACCGACTATTCCCTGTACGGCAACAGCAGCAGCGGTGGAGGGAGCTCTAGCGAAAAGCGGGAAAGCTCGGCTGGAGGAACCAGCAAGCTGGATAAGTTCGAATTGGATGCGCTGGGCTACGAGACAATTGAGCCTATTGGTGGCTCCCACAGCAACATTACTTCCATGTTTGCCGGTAGCAATGACTATGACAAACCCAAGACGTTGGCGCCTGCGAAGAAGAGTAGTGGAGCCGCCTCGTCCACTTCCAGTCACAGCAAAGGGCCAGCTAGCAACGATCCTGTGATCGCTCAGCAGAAGTTTGGGAACTCCAAGGGCTTTGGCTCCGACCAGTACTTCGCCAGCGAACAGTCTTCGGCTGATGTCAGCGCGAGCTTGAACCGATTCCAGGGATCGCGAGCCATATCTTCGTCGGACTACTTCGGCGACGGCACTCCTGGCGGCAGTGCAGGCAACCGGGGTGAGTCAAATAGCGCATTGTCCTCTGGAAAACAGATTGTGAGTCATGGATTAAAATATTTGCAGCATCGTCGGTCAACTTTAGTGCACCCGACCTGGATGTGGAGAGCGTAAAAGAGAGCGTACGTCAGGGCGTACACAAAGTGGCCGGCCGGCTAAGCAATCTAGCCAATGATGTGATGACCTCCTGGCAAGACAAGTACG